TCAAAAATATCACTTTTACTAAAAATGACAAAAAAAATTCACCAAAATTAGAGAAGTGAAGATATCAACATGAAATGAACAAACTAAGAGAAGCTACCCCAAGGTACATATACACCAAGTATCGGCTTGTAGTTTTCAAGAAGAAGTTGAAAAAATAAAACATTGACACGGACGACGACGGACAATCACTCATATGATAAGCTTCACTCGACAAAGTCGACAGCGGAGCTAAAAAGAAAGTAGATAACTATGCTATGAACACATACCGGTACTTACACTATGCACTAATACATGTAACTACCAGTGTACCACTTGAATATTTACAGGTATTAGTGAGAAATCCAGATTAATGCCACGTATTCCACACGTAACATTCACAGTTGTCCCAATTTTGAACCTTTCATCAGAACACATTAAAATGCTCACACTCACACACACAAAATAGGTTTAAACATAGAACTTCTAAGGTCTATGGTTTAAAGGTACAACTTTCGGTTTATAAATATTATGTTATCATTTGTCAAATAAATAAGTATGCTCACCAAACTAATTTTCACTAAAAAGATATATCAATCAATCATTCAGGAAGCTGATGAGTCTCGGTTATTATCCTAAAAAAATCTCAGTTATCTTAAAATTTAGTTTGATATACTGGAAAAAATAATATATACTGGTACCCTTGTTAGTTATTTTTATTGAGAAGAAAAAGATATACCAGGTACTTTGGGCTATCTATTATATTAATTCACTTATATTGTTCATGGAATAACTCTTTACAATAGAAGCCCCTATAATCAAATATTGCACCTTACAATTCATTGCATTTTAACAGACAATTATGGAGCAATAGTGCCATGGTAACATTGAACAGCATTCTGGTACATGTATGTGTTACAGTAAAAATAAAAGTGGGGAAATATTATTCAAAAATTGCTATTTGTAGAAAAGTTGAACAAAACAAAGCATTTATGCAGAGTAACATTTTTATTACTTTTTAAAAATCAGCATTTTAAAATAATTCCCCTATTAGTCACATTAAGTAATTTTTTTACTCCATGTTTTCAGTCAACAATAAGAAATTTTGTGATTGTATATTGTGTGAAAGACAATGTCATTATAATATAATAAGCTGGTGACCCCAAATTTCGTTATACATGTATGTGGGAAATGGAATGAAAAACCTCTAAAGAATTGCCTAATTGTCAGGACGTTTTTTTTTCAATAACAGAACTATTTCATACTAGAAAATACTGTGTTGAAATGATTATAAATTTTGAAATGTTTTTAACCCCATAAGAATATAATTGCAGTAAAAACAAACAAATAAGCATCACTAAACACTGTGTTGAAAGTGATACACACATTTGTAAGTATTACTGACATATCCCTTATATGGACAATATGTGTCACATTTACATCACATTGGAACACTATCCCTTGTTTACTATGAACACACACAATGTAGTATGTGACGGAAATATAATCGTGTCCCTGAACAACAACAGATTGCACAGTCACAAACCTCACAACATGCTTCTCACTAGCATTTCAAACTGTTACCTTTCACTAAATTATGACTACAAGCAACAGGAAAGATTTAAACCATATTTGCTATATTTGGAACACATGTAAATTGATTAAGGTATAAGGTTATGGTCGGAATAAATAATGTTCTAATGATTAAGCATATAATAAATACAATTTATGTGCACTTAAATTGGAGATGAACCTCTAATTTACAAGTAAATATGAAATATAAAAAAGGTCATCATGAGAAAATAGTATGCACTTAGTGGTGCATATACACTGTACATGTATATAATCAATATAATGCCTTTGTGCATAATCAGATATAAAATATCAATATTGCTTCAAGCAATACTACACATTATCTCCGGTATTATCCGTGAATGACCATGAGAAAGAGAACGATTGTTAAAAGTAAAGACCAAGACCTATGAGAGAGGCATTGACCACATGTTGGGATTACTGTAAAATGTCAATCAAACGATCTGTTTTGCTGAATTATTGACTCAAAACATATATATATATTTTATGATTTCTTACAGAGTACATGTACTATGTAAATTTTAATGTACACAGTATATAACTGGACTAATATCATTTGGGAATAGAATTGCCCATGAGTTGGTTCTATGTCGAAAAAAAGTAAGATATCACGAATGAAAATAGTTTCACTATCAATATCGATCATGAGTTTATACTACAAAGCGACAAACACTAGAAAAGTAGCAGAAAAAAAGAATGTTATCCCTGGATTCAGAATTTCATGAAAAATAACAAATAATAACACTGTGTTTAGGATCAAAACATATCACTGTTAGTATAGATGAGTATTGCAGAGTTCGGTTTAGGTCGCTATTTTGAATTATTAAATATCGGTAACAATGTTTCAAACCCCCAAACCACAGTGAAACTTAACCAAAAAAAACACACACTAATTTCACCACAAAAGAGTATAATCCTACTGTACCGCATTGGTGATTTCAGCAATTGAAAATGGCGTCCCTATGATAGATCAATTACATACCCTTAAACTACAACAACGCCAAGATATCGTGTGGTATGGGACAAATACCACAAATTATTGACAACACTAAAAAACAATACGACAGAAGTAGATAACATAAATATGCTTATAATAATCTTTAATATTTTTTATAATAAACTTGTATATTATTATATATCACATATTAATAAAAATTAACTCAAAGCAAACTTTAATAACCTAAATATGCAAAATAACCCTGAATATTTAAGGTACTTAACATAATATGTTGTGTATTAGAATGTAACAGTACTTAGACAACAAAATGACAGGCGGCAGTGAATGGGATGTTTACAAGCCATTATGTGCAGCCGGTGGACTCAATATCCAATTGATTTTTTTTTTAAATAGGCCACTTTAAAACCAAAATACTTTGTGATGTTTTTATTGTCTCGTAATTTTTATTACACTGTTTAGTGTATGAATCGGTCATGTTACAAGACAGGGACATTAACTGTGTTGCTTGCCTGCCAAAAAGCAGTTTAATGGTATAAGTTGATGGGACCACAAGTGTAGGGAATGAGGACAAAATTACCCACCTTCAATTGAGTCGATAAAGCACACGTTGCCAGTCGTGTTGAAAGCAAGAGTTTCCGGAGCAATACACAATGTAGTAAATAACTCCATTGATGTTTTCTGAATTGAATCTAGTGCTTTACAAGTTTCCATGCATACTGCCCATATTTCGGCCTCAAAGAGGCAGGCCTCTCTAAGCTGCAGTACATCTGACAGGGTGACCAGTTCTTCATCTTCTTGCAATGTCGGGAGTGGGTCAAACTCCAACAAACCTACGGCAGACAACGCCATATCTAATCGTATCCCCTTGGTGAATTTAACCACGGAAATAAATCACAGTTGTTAGTGTAGTTTGTTTGGTTTGACACATCTGGGCTTGACCTAACAACACATTTTATCGCGATAGATCCTAAAAGAAACATGGCAGCATCAAAGTAAAGTACACCTATTGAGTAAACGTACACCGGATATTATAATGGTGTTTTCGCCAAAACACGACAGCTAGGTGACACATCGTCATATTTTAGTTAACACATTTTTCATTCGCTCTTCATTATAACGAATACACGCCGTACCATCGTGCCATTGTCCGCAGTATATCGATCACGAACCAGAAAAACGACTTGTGGAGCCCGGTGCCACAGTGAGTGTCCAGCAATACCAAACGTCATTCACTTTCACATATCAGATTGTAGCTATTACAAGCAATAACCAAGGTTAAACTCCACAAACTGAGTCTATCTTCATGTCAATGTACAACACAAACTGTGAACATTTAAAACAACACAGTCAACAACGGGGTTAAATCACAATAGTGGCGGTGGTCCCGCTGTCATCGACATTGTCGGCGTAAACTACTGCACAGTAAACATGTATCATCACATCTCCAGCCTTGTGACGCTTATAAACTCAAATCAACGATAGTTAATACGTGGCTGTTAGAAGTACTGCTCAGACTATTGATAGTATGTGGCAGATCGTAGCAACATACCAGTTAAATTTGCCACCACAGACAAACATCTGAGATCACGAAAGCCGTCTTGAGACGCACAGACGAGACCGCTATTTACGAATGGTGCATTGTGGGTATTTTTTTTATTAAAGTTGCCCGAATCTGTGTTCAATGCAAATATGACGCATGCCAAACGGAACGGATCAATTTAATTTATTAATGGCACAAGACAATAATTGATGGTCGCACTTATTTTTAATCGTCTCGGCTGAATGATTTTGAAGTGACGCAAAATATCGATGTGGGTGATCTCCTGAAGAGAATGAAATACAACTTTCCATGATAAAAAGTCAAGCATATGTAAAAAAAAAAAAATTCCTCCAGCCCCATCAGTCTTCAAATGGGAACGTTAAATTGTAATATACTTTATTTTAGTTGGAATTAATTTTCGCCGAAAATACTTTTTTGGGTGTACGGAGTTTATATTTACTGATTCCTGACGAGTCGAACGTAAAATATAGGAAACAAAATGGATTCGCTGGATTTTATTATCACTTCAGCGAAAATAGCAAAAATAAATTCAAAGCGAAAATAAAGTATTACAGTAATAGAATAGAATAGAATAGAATAGAATAGAATAGAATAGAATAGAATAGAATAGAATAGAATAGAATAGAATAGAATAGATAATTCAATATGACATGTAATAGATGGTCATAACAGAATGACACATATTGTCAATTTCAAACCATAATGCTCAGTATCGCAATCAAAACACGTGTGACGTCTTCACTCTGTTTCACGCATTGCGTCAATAATGTGCACATGCTTATATGTTCCCCAGGTTTAATCTAACATCGGATCAGAAAACCTTTCATTATCGTTCAGTAGACCTAGAACGATATTTCCATCGGTATAAGAAAGTGTATCACAATCTTGAGTTTCAAGAGTATTGTAAATTCCTACATGGTGCGTAACGCTTGTATATAAGTGACATTGATCTCTGACCGCATTGTAAATAATGTACGCAAATTACGTAAGAATTGTTGTATCTCGAACTATACTCTCTTCGAATAAATGAATGTAGTGTAGACTTTGCTTTAATTTACTCATTTTGTGTTGAAAAATATGTTCATATTACATCGAGAGTGACCGTAAAAGTGTTTTTTTGTTACGAGGCTTCGATAGAAAACGAATAAAATTTTGTTTTACATGTGGTCTGATTTTTTTCTGATACCTTACGGGAAAAAAATATTTAATTTATTGATTGAATGTTTACGAGAGATATAGTAAATATATATTTACAACATCCTTGTAGTAATCAGTTTTTGTAGTTGGTGAACTGATAACAGAACGTGTAACGGCAAGAAATAAAGACATTAGCAAACAAAACAAAAACGGAAAATGAACAACGCGCTTTTCATTGAAAGTTTGTATACAAAATGTGTGGTCAATCCGATATTATGTTTGTGGGACAAAGGAGAAAATGATTTATGTAAATATTGCCGTAAAGTAAGAGACATAACTGTGCAATATATATCACGAATGTATTAATTCTATGAATATATGAAGGATTAATTGTTTAACCAATATTCGCCAGGTGTACCTACGAATTTAATGTTACTTGACATAGATTTGCGTGTTGAGATAAAATACCGAAATAATTATCAAAGTTAATTTTATTATTCAGATCGCTAAATACCCAAATACACCAAATTAACAGTACCATATCGAGACGAAAGAAATTCAACCAGCGATCAAGTTGACAAGTAACTTATTTTATATGCTGTATGTAATATAAAAATGTATATCAGAATAAATAAAAATGACTAATTGTGTTATGTGTATTAAGGGCGACGCTTTGGGTATAAATGGATGATTGAATTATTTACTTGATCCATACATATTTCAGCTGAGCAGTGGAGTCAATCTGCCAGTTTGTTACTCTCATAGATGAGCCGTCTGTCCTCCAAGCAAACATCAATAAACTTTTTACGCTGACTGATAACAGACTCAGTCTAATAGTAATTCTAATAAAACGGAATTTATGGTTGTAGGACTATAAAACAAAGAGTTACAAACAGGGAATGACGGGGTTGGTCGTGACAGCCAGAATAACTTTTTAAGGTTTTATTATTGCCCCTAGCCTCTAAGCTAACTTAGAAAGAACACACCGAGCTAATATGTAACAGAATTTCACCGAAAACTTTGTGTTTATAGGATTGCTATAGGCCATGTAGAATGACTTTATTCTAGTTTGTTGTGATTTCATTATCGCAATACAGACAGACATGTCTTTATACATAGCAATCAGAGCGGCAAGATTAATTCAGGGCGATAAAATGCTTCACAGGGGAAAATTTTCACAAAATGGTCGTCCTTTCAAAATAATAGGAAACTGCACAAAGCAGTGATGACGTATACAATAACTGATTTGTTGAATGCATCTGTTCTCACTAGAAATAATATACTTGTATATTTCACACAGTTTTCAGTATAGTACGGCTATGAAATTCATAATTAATTGTTACCAACAAAATTAAATGAGAGTACTTCGATTGAATCTCATAAACTTTGTACAGCCAGCTTAGAAAAAATGGAAACCATTTTAAGATGCGATTGTATTTTAATTGTATCAATGTGATTGACATGTTTGTGTTTGTCGTGGAATTGTATTAAATATCTAGATATCGCCCTCTCTGGATATAAGTACGCAAGTATGCAACAAGGGATAAATAATAACCCCAAGCAAGCCAAGCGTGCACAAGGTGGTTCCGATGGTATCCAAGCGGTTCATCAATAGGTGTTCTCAAAATGTTCACAGTTAGATGATACAGTAACGATTACTAAAATGACATTGTTCTCAGCTATGTGGGCACTACCAGTGTCATTAGTGAGTGTGAATAAAACGTGAAACTAAAAGAGTGACTATGATGATATAAAAGAAGGAAGAAGATTGGTTCAATATTAGTCACAACTGCAACCTGCTTGTTTTCATTAAAATTCAAGAGATACAAGCCCACTCATGAACGAATTGTAGGCCGACGACATAGACTGAAAATATCATATATTGTGATACTTTTTGTGTCCTGCATTTAAAATCAATCTGGTTTGAAAAGTGTCAAAAAAATGCAAACTTAAGGCAAAGTTTCTCGGAATACATTACACTGTAACACACAATAGAAAGCTATTTCACCGTGCCATGGGACAGTAGCTTAATGATTGTACATAATAAACCAATGAAAACTACCATGCGATTTATTAACAACTTTTTTCAACATTATGAGAAGGTTTCTACCTTAGAGTTTAGAGAGCATTTCCGAATGGAATTGTGCCAGTGACCGTGAAACACAATTACAATATATACAAATTTACTCGTTTGTAATAATTGAATCCGCCCTGTGCAGGTTATATAAATCATCATGACTGACTCCTAACCACAACGTTTCCAGCTACTTTGGCTGAATTTTAACTCAATGTCACATTCAGTCAATGTCATCATATCATGAATATTATTATTATTTTTGAGATATTTCAATCAAATAGGATACCGAAAATTCGTTTTTTTTTGTTTGGCAGATGTTGAACAGGAATGTAAAATAAAGTTGGCGAACACGTCCTCGATAATCTATTTGATACACAATGCAGACCATTTAGCAACATCCGGGTCTGCTGAGGATTTTCCAGCTCGGTGGGCGTTTCGCGGAGTTACAATATTTTTCAGGGATATTTTTAAAACTTGTATCGACGTTCGAAAGGATAGGCCCTCACCGTTTTTCCCATAACAGCGCCACAAGTGATAGATTACAGAAATCAATCTTTTTTACTGGCGTTGCTGGCATACCACGGTGTCATAATATTAGTAGGACCACAGTGATAGAGGGATTGTGGTAGGACCTAATGCATGATGCCGAAAGTTTGCACACCCTGGTACCTTCTGGGGATATTGCTGTCCTATATAATGACAATGATTTCCAATTGAATATTTTACCGCAGTTTTTGTTGAATCTGTTTTTTTTTTTTTTGGAACTTTTGAAAGAACTAGTTGCATTGTTTATTGTAGTCGAGAAATTCCCAAAATATATACTAGTACTTAGTAATTATAAGGGTGTGTGACTTGTAAATCATGCATATGGTCTCATGTCTCATTAATTTTTTCATAGCTTGTATTGTTGAATTCTAGTATTTTAAGTATTTTAATTAATGTTAAGTAATATAATTTGATTACTTGTGTACGTGAACAGTATGGGAGAAACAAATCTTGCATAACCAATATTACATTTGCTATAATCCTTTGTCACTGCTCATCATTCTTTTACTATAACCATTAGTACCTTCCATGCTATAACCATTAGTACCTTCCATGCTATAACCATTAGTACCTTCCATGCTATAACCATTAGTACCTTCGATGCTATAACCATTAGTACCTTCGATGCTATAACCAATTTGTATATTTTGAAATCCGAGTTCTGTTTAAAAACTGTAGTTGTATTACACATACTCACTAGTAGTTACACTAGTGTTGAAACAATGTGTCGGTAATGCCGATAAAAAGGGGACGTTGATATAAAACACACTTAGCATTCAATTACATAAAACCATGGAAGGTACCTTCCATGATAAAAGACACTAAACAATAATACAATCGCTATCACCATGCACATGGGTGTGCACATGTACCGGTAAAATGATCCACGTTATTTATAAGAATGTTTATTTCCACGGTCTTAGTTATTCATTAGTTACACAAATCCACCATCCAACGTATTCCGATATATTGTTTGTATTATCACAGTGCATCTTTCTAACTACACATGATATAGCACAGACATACATGTCTAGAAACCACTATCATATACAAGTAATAATTGTAGATGAGTCTTGATATACATACCTCACTTATGTTGAATCCAACCACGAGTACTGAGTGTAACACAATAAACAATAGTAATCATTCGAGCTATTGCACTGTTCACGTATAAAACTTACGTATAACTTGTAAACAGCAAATAGTTTTATAGTGAATATTCACGAATCATCATATTGTCAGTATTACCACTTGAAGAGTTGTAAGTACGGAGAATGTTAGACTATAGATTTATTTACCGGAACATGCGAAGTCGAGTGTGATCAACCAAGGATCAAAAACTCTCTCCATGTGTTTGAGTGGGTGCATGGTCAATCCACAGGAGATTCTGAATGATGTGGGCAGTTACTCTGTGGACCTGCCCCATTTCCTGTTGAACACTGAACCCATATCCGGATACACTGTGTCAACACATCATGTACGTAAATTACCGTACGTAAGATGTAAATCAGTGACTGTCTGTTACTATGGCAATGCACACATCGTCTAAATATGTGGATTGCGAAACAAATAAAGAAAGGAAAAAGCAATATAAACTAATTTTAAATTAATTCTTGGTTTCATAAAGTATTGTGTACAGTCATATGCTGCGTACGCACCACGTGACGGGTGTTACATTCAGTCGCCCATTAACTATTAGTTAGATTGTTTGGTAGCCAAAACATTGTCTGGTTGTATATTTACTGTGTTCTTACATAATGTAAAATACTTTATTTTAGCTGGAATTAATTCTTGCTGTAACTACTGTTTGTGTGTTTAATTTCACTGAATTATTGCTTCAGCGAAAATTAATTCCAAGCGACAATAAAGTATTCTACAGTACTTGGCCACTGCACATGCCAGGCTTCTGAGTTAGCACAAGTCGATAAATTTTTCAACGAGTCACACGGCACATAACATTTTAGTGAGCAACACACATGACATTTAAGCACAAATTGAACAATTTCACGAAAATATTGTTCTCGGTATCAGTACTACAGAGTATACATGTACTCGTATTCTAAAGCAAGAATAAAGTTAAACGATGTGAGGGCGCTATTACTTTAGATGAGTCAATGGCTTTGGCGATAAGACATGTACTTGACTAAATAACAAAGTGTAATCATCCACGGAGCAGAAGTTGACAGATGTCACAATAACAATAATATCTAAGTGAGTTCATTCTCTTCCTTTTTTCAGCTCTGGCGATCACCGAACTGTATCATTCACGAAAATTGTAATTATTTAGTCATTTCCCATTGTTTTTTTCCAAATATCACTGGGGTACCTTTGGACAAAAAATCAGTTTTTCGCCCCCCCAAAAATAATTCGTACTGAATAAAAATAGAAGATGGTGACAGTATCCAAATCTACAATTTTGAACAAAAAAAAATAAAGGTTTTTTTCTAATATAGGTCAACAAAAATATTCTGCTGTCTCAATAGTTCTACCTCTAATTAAAGTCACTAAAGGCTGAACATACGATTAACTAGATCAGTAATTTTTATTTATGAGTTTGTTGTTTTTCACTACTACATAGATACAGTAGTCTCAATTGCCATTTTGAGTGCTTGCTAAAATTGGGGTAAAATTATTCACATTTTCTGTAAGTTTCATTAAATTCAATCTTAATTTTGGACCAAACAAAATGTGACATTGCTTCTAGTTTTTGATTCAAACATTGTATGTGGAAACACAGGGACTGTGGTGGAAAGCAAACTATAAATGGAACTATTTTGTAGATTGTACCTGAAGTTGGCGCCCAAAGAGTTAAACAATTACACCAACATTGGAGAAGATTTGTTAACAATTTTGAAGTAGACAGTTATAAATTTATCGCCCTCCATCATATGAAAAAACAGCTTTGTTTCACAATGATTTGTAGTACATGTATCAGAATAAAACTATCTTTTCCTGCAACCCTCAGAATATATTGTGAATTAATGCAAACTCCAAAGAGTTTTTGGCTTTGAATCACCAAGGGCAATGGCCATGGCCAATGTGATTCTAACCAATGGCATCCTCTCTCCATCAATTGTCCATCACTTATCAAAACAAGTAATTGGTCAAAGCAAGTCTGTGATATAGCTTTGAACGCACAGCAGAAGTCAAATAGCCCCTGATTTCAGACTTTGTCTAAACAGGAACTAAAAATGATATACCGGGGTACGCTATATTTCTATCTACTGATCTCTCTACTTCTCGTTTCCTCTTTCTGTCTATGTCTGTCTGTTCAACCTTCCATCCATCAGCCTGTCTGTCTGTCTGTTTGTCTTCCATCTTTTCTCCATCTTTTTCTCTCCCTCTCACATAAACACACAACAGACATTAAGTTTACATAATTTTAAACTTTATTCTGATCAAAACACAAAAAAACACTAATCAGTATTTACAGTGACTAGTATCAGAATGAACACCACAGTAATTATTCAATAAGATATTACGGCAAAAACTTAAAGAGCTGTTGGAGCCATGAAGTATAAACACATGATACCAGCACCATTGATACAAATACACAGCAACTTGGTGAAGGATAAGATGGTGTCCATTATTCCGTCTTTGGTGTTACAGCTGCTGCAGTAATTGCTTTTCTTTTGTTCAACCTGCTCTTGATGACCCAGTATATAAGAAAGGAGCCAGCAAATGTTGCTATGACGCACTGAAAGATGGAGACTCAACATGAATACACATACCATCAAGGAAATGCTATTCTAAATAATAGTTCCTATTATGATTAAATGTTAATTTGACATTTGAAAGCAATCAACTGTGTAAGTGATATGGTTGTAATAATGAAATATGTGGATAACGTGTTGTGTCAAGATTGAATAAAATAGGTCTAGTGATTTGAGAAATGCTACACACTGTTGATGTGAATCCATGTTCATTTGCAGCACGATTCAAAAACATCAAACTAAATTTAAACATACCAACATTTAGATACACTAAAAATTAAATACATATATTTTGCTATAATTCGCACAAAATTATTATTGTGTCAAAATCCCAATACAAATTTCAAATTATCTCAGATTGCACAAATCATGGAAGGAAAATAAGGCATTTTTCTCACCAACTTTCTTTTCGATAATGTTAGTTATTGCATTGCATTTGCTCCAATGGAAGCACATATAAACCATTAATTGCATGCTGGATCATCAACATACAAGTTATGTCTTATGAGAGACACACTTAGCGCTTAAGCTACTAATAGAGTAAATATGGTATTTATAATTTAAATTATAATGCCCCGTATGTTTTCAAATGAATATCATAAATCATAGAAATGATAAACCCATGGAATATTGAACAACATGTGTTAGATGTTACTATCAGACAATGCAATGAGGTGAGGATCCTGCCAGTTTCCATCCGCTATCCTACATGTACAACAATATTGTTAGCGACTTTTACAAAATTTTGTTTTCATGAATGCCATAAAATAAACAAATACCAAAAATTGTTAGCAATGAAAATGAAATGGTTTAAGTAGTTCATACCTAATCCTTATGAATTAATAAGTTGTATTGCTTGTAAAAAAAAAAGCTAATTGTACAGCCTAGATATACAATACCATATTTTCTTTATTAGTAACACATGAGCGAACAATAATAGCAGATAAATTTACAGCAGGCGCAAACAAGACTTATATGGGTAACTTGCATGGGACACTCTTTATCAATGTTGTAATATCTTTATTAACCTCCCTAGAGGCAGCTTAGCCACAGTACCACTGGTACCTGGACAAAAATTAGTTAGTCCAAAATCAAGTAGGCCAAGAATTGTGTGAGATTGTCACAAAATGTAGCAAATTGTTTTCATAACATTAGATAGGGCCAATAATGCAATGTTCATAAGAACTTTCTAAGGGAGTTTGCTAACTTCCCATACTCCCCCTTGTTTGTGCTCGCTGTAATAATGAGATTCACTTTTAAAAGAGCAAATACGATGTGTGTATTTTTATTAACTTACATTCCTTTTTCCCAGCACAGTGTCTGAATTAAAATACTTCTTTAAACCCGTATAGTGGGCAAACTGAGACTCATCTGCCATTCCTCCTGCCATTATTGTATCTGTAATTCAGAGATAACACATTCAGCTATTGGTGAAATAAACAATGCTTCATAAAGTACCAATAAGTTTCAGCACTGCATCTCAAATAATGTTAATATGGTAATGAATTAAACCAAAGTTTAGTAATAGCTTGCAGTCGTATTGCATCAAACACTGATCAGCACATGAAGAATCTGTTATTTTCCATATATGCACAATATATTAATTATTTAATTAAGATTTAAAATATTTTGTGATGGAGGAAATTGTAATGCTTTCAGAGCAAGCTTCATTAATTTAGTCACCAATTTTCCAAATAAAAAAGTGTATTAAGTATTCATCATTGTGCTCTCTAAATAGATACTTTTGTTTTCACCTTCATCTATCAAAAACTTTAATACAGTATTTGTGTGTGTGTCGTCTTACCCATACCATCCCCGAGTTTCTGATGATTAATCCCTAATTCGTACGAATTCGTTTTACAAATTGTATTTTATTTGGACTACACTTAGTACACACAAATCAATATGTATATACCTACTTTTCATAACCATGATTTTGTAATTGACAGTATATCTAAACTAACACGATACGGTTTTCAATATACTCGTTAGCTACATTTGTATTAAGGCTACATTTGTATACCACAGTACTAACATTGCACTGTGTGTGTACGTGAGCTGAGACTGGGTCAGCACACTACCAGAAATAAAGCTGTAATTGGAGAAATGGGGAGAATAATTTGCACAATGGATGTTTGGAGGAGACGAACGTAACTACACGTGGACACAATGTATGAACAAAATCTACTTACGCTGAAGATCTAACAAGCCGGCTTTTAATTTTCACACGTAACTTCACCCTGCACGTTCAAAGATGGCGTACGAAAATCTCGATGGCTCTTTGACTTTTGACCTCGTACGAGATCACGCGAGAACTGTTATGGCGACCTCCAGCTGGACATGTGCGGAGCCGGAACAGAAATACCATTTCTGATAAAACCATATTCATCGATAGCTGTCAGTATCCTTTAGTATCTGATCAGTGAGTATATATCTTGCCTGTTAGTGTTATGTGCTCGTACGTTACTTGTATTTTAATTTATTTCGTCAAAATGTGGTTCTTAAATTCGGTCACACTGCATGGCACAGTGAATACTACAAAATAATACAACTATATGTATACATCTTGGACTTACACCCGCTTCGTGTACACATTATTTACAGCCTACACGGGACTGGTATATAACAGTCCCAGTTTGCGTTACCAGTGAATGTGATCATGGTATTTCGTCATTTAGTTGAGTAAATGTCGTGTGACCACTGTCTGATTGTAGTGCTGGCGAATTATGCATGTGAAGTTGATAAACCAGCTTTAAAAATCATCACGATTACACAATAATTGAAAATAAAATCATTGTTCCAAAAGATATCATGGTAGATACTGTTACTGTATTGCGTTGTCAATGGTTGATAGACTATATGGTTGTCATTTGTTAACATATTATCAAGCATTAAATGGTGTGTTGATTGATAGTTATACTACTGATTGAGGTATGCAAATGGCGGACCACACTCTTAGAAAAGGACAGAGAGGCGGACAAGAAAACAATAGAATGTGGACGCTTACACCACTGAGGGCACATGCGCTATACAATTATGTTTTCTCTGTTTTTGACCAGTGATTTTGCAAGTCAGCCATCTTTTGATTTTTACCTTGCCCGTACCATCAAAGATGGAAGGGAAAGGTATATTAAGGGAAAAATTTTGTCCGGCGTTGTCATTGTTGTTGTCGTCGTCGTCTTCGTTAATAATTGTTATTGTGTGCATAATAACTTTACTAATTCTATTCCAAACTTCATCAAACTTGGTCACCTTATTCATCAGTATAAAGTCTTCCCTGAGTTTGAACAACAGATGTTCTGTATGAAAATATCATGCAAAAATTGAGAAAATCTGATAAAATATACATATCAAAGGTCAATCCGATGTCAGTGGAAATATGCATTGTTGTATGTGTTCAATGAAGCAAATGATTTATCTTGTAATAATATCCTTGGTAATG